CCCAACCCCAAAAAAAAATTTTATCTAAATTTTTATTTTTTTAATCGAAGAGCTTTTTTTTTTTTTTGCTCCTCACTAGGGGGGGTATCCTTTTTTAACTTTTAAATTAGTATCCATTATCCCCGAAAGTGGCACCGACCCTAACCCCACTAAAGATAAATATAGAGAAATCTTTGGCCAGCTAAATATAGAGAAATCTTTGGCCAGCCAACCACCCCCCTTTTTTGGCTATTTTTTAAACGGCCCCGACCATAATACTTAAAAAAGTTAAGTTATATAAGGACGTAGATGTTGATTCTGCTTTTAAACTTCCCAACACCTGTTAAGGTTGGAATTATGCATCAAAATTTTACTCCACTTTTAACATTTTACTCCTTTGCTCTACTCCATTAGTATTTTATCTTTCCAAATCAGAGTTTCTACTCAAATTTAATTTTTTCTAACTTCTAATTCTAATTTTCAGCTATAAATCAAACAATTAAATGAAATGTAAAAATAGCACTCATGAAAGCAAGCCAAAAACCAGATTAGCTGCTTTAGCATTATTTTTTTTGTTAAACAAATCATTTCTTTTATTAAATTCTATAATTTCTTAATTTACATTTGTTCGAAAATTCAAATTTATTAGAATTGATATTAAATTTTAAAATTATATTCTATTCATTCCTTTCTATTTATTAATGTTATTTTGCTTATCTCTTTTTTTTCAATGTATTTTTTGAATCTGTGTTGATTAAAGATTTGTTTGCATTACAAGTGGGTTTTTAAATTTATGATTGGAAATAACAGAGTTTAAATTCTTTGGAAGAGTTTTAATAAATTTTTTTTGATGAGTTTTTCTTTTTACTTATTTCAATTTATTTTAAAATGAACTTAATTTCCTATAATTCTTTCTAAATTTATATTTAAAAAAAGTCTATTAGATTTATCAATATTATATGACAAAATAATTTATTTTAAAATAAACATTCTCATTTAATTCTTAATATAAATGTTTAATTTACTATAAAAAATAAAAATATCTTATAGTGGTTTTTAATTGAAATATGGAAGATTTTCGATTTCAAATTTAAAAATAAATGTCATTTAGCTTTGAGGGTATAAGATTTATCAAAACTAATGAAAAAATACAAGTGTTAACTGGAAAGTATGTTAGAGTTAAGGGATAAATAAAATTATCTAGTTTCAAAATATTAAAAACAAAAGCTTTTGTTTATATACAGTTTCAACAAACTCAAAGAAATGAGAAAAATGAGATTCTTCTTAAAGCATTTGGATAATATATTATTTGAAGCACTAATCGATAATATTGAAAAGTCTTAATCAATATTCTAAACAAATTAATGATTAAATAAAATGGCTGTGATCAGAATATTTCAAAAATATATGTAAAAAATGGTGTTTATTCTCTACTCAAATCCTGATAGATTTAAGATGTTACACTGATTTTTTTAAAGAAGATGGAAAACCAGAAGAAGATACATGTTTTAATTTTAAATTATGTTAATTCTTTTTTTATACTTTGATAGAGTTGAAGTCACTGATTTATAAATAAGGGAGCTTTTTTAATTTTATAATCCTGGGACATAATTAAATAGAAGGAGATTAGTAGAAACATCAATTTCTAATTAATTTATCTACAAAGTATATTATGCTGGTATAGATTTGATACAATATATTTTTTTCTTTCAATTCTCTGTTATAAATGAGAAAAAACTGGTGTAACAGGAATTGAAGCGTCTAAAAACAATTTAATCAATTTTAGGATTTACATCAAATGTCCTTGTAATGTTAAATGTAATGTTGTATTAACATAACTTAGTGTACAGATCTGACATGTAAATCAAATACTCCAGTCTCAAATTTTATTATAATAAATTGTCTCAACAATTGGTATTGAATGGCTATTAGCAAATGGATTGTATAAGAAAGTAAAACCAATTAATATTAATCATGTAATTAAAAGGTAAGTTAAAATCTAGCTAAAATTTTATGGCAATCAGTAAAAATTTGACTTAATGGTGTCAATAAATAAACAATGATAAAGAAAATTATTGGTTTAAACTATTTTTGATCTTGTCATAGGAGAAACTGATTTACTGAATGCCTCAAATTTGAAGCAAATCATACTTTTACCGCATGTGAATAACTAATTAGTTTTTTTATTTTTAGTTTCGCTCTTGACTTATTACGTCATAACCTATAAATAATTTAATATTTATGTTAATATTATTAAAACAGATTACAAAGATGCTACCTAATACTATTTCTAAAAATATATAGACATTTTTTATGTTTAAAGTTTATTTTTAAACAAGAGTATCATAAGATTAGATTTAATAATAGTTGAAATTTAGAACTTAAAGGATTATTCAAAGTAAGAATATTATAAGTATTAGAAATTTATATATTCAGGTTTCTCCTTCAGCAGTTTAATCATTTTCTCCTTCAATTTTTATTCTTCTACCATTTTCCCAAATTCCAGCTTTTCTTTCACCAGTTTCATTGATGATTATTCCCTTACCATTTTATTTTCCCAAAGCCCATTCTCCTTCATATTTTTTACCATTATTCCAAGAGAACACTCCTTAACCATGTTTTTTATCATCTAAGTAATAGCCTTTATAACTTTTCCCATCTGGCCAAATGGTTTCACCATAACCATTCATTTTATTATTTAACCAATTGCCTGTATAAGTTTTACCATCATTCCAAGTATATTTACCAAAACCACTGATTTCATTATCCAAAAATTCTCCCTCATAAATACTATTGTCTGCAAATTAAAGTTTTCCTTTTCCATTTTTCTTTCCAAAAGTATACATACCCTTTAGTATTAGACAATTTTATACTTCATATTTAGAACCATCAGGCCAAACTTCCACTCCCTTTCCATGTTATTAATCATTTAGCCATTCCCCTTCATACTTAGCACCTCCAGCATGNATTATGCTGGTATAGATTTGATACAATATATTTTTTTCTTTCAATTCTCTGTTATAAATGAGAAAAAACTGGTGTAACAGGAATTGAAGCGTCTAAAAACAATTTAATCAATTTTAGGATTTACATCAAATGTCCTTGTAATGTTAAATGTAATGTTGTATTAACATAACTTAGTGTACAGATCTGACATGTAAATCAAATACTCCAGTCTCAAATTTTATTATAATAAATTGTCTCAACAATTGGTATTGAATGGCTATTAGCAAATGGATTGTATAAGAAAGTAAAACCAATTAATATTAATCATGTAATTAAAAGGTAAGTTAAAATCTAGCTAAAATTTTATGGCAATCAGTAAAAATTTGACTTAATGGTGTCAATAAATAAACAATGATAAAGAAAATTATTGGTTTAAACTATTTTTGATCTTGTCATAGGAGAAACTGATTTACTGAATGCCTCAAATTTGAAGCAAATCATACTTTTACCGCATGTGAATAACTAATTAGTTTTTTTATTTTTAGTTTCGCTCTTGACTTATTACGTCATAACCTATAAATAATTTAATATTTATGTTAATATTATTAAAACAGATTACAAAGATGCTACCTAATACTATTTCTAAAAATATATAGACATTTTTTATGTTTAAAGTTTATTTTTAAACAAGAGTATCATAAGATTAGATTTAATAATAGTTGAAATTTAGAACTTAAAGGATTATTCAAAGTAAGAATATTATAAGTATTAGAAATTTATATATTCAGGTTTCTCCTTCAGCAGTTTAATCATTTTCTCCTTCAATTTTTATTCTTCTACCATTTTCCCAAATTCCAGCTTTTCTTTCACCAGTTTCATTGATGATTATTCCCTTACCATTTTATTTTCCCAAAGCCCATTCTCCTTCATATTTTTTACCATTATTCCAAGAGAACACTCCTTAACCATGTTTTTTATCATCTAAGTAATAGCCTTTATAACTTTTCCCATCTGGCCAAATGGTTTCACCATAACCATTCATTTTATTATTTAACCAATTGCCTGTATAAGTTTTACCATCATTCCAAGTATATTTACCAAAACCACTGATTTCATTATCCAAAAATTCTCCCTCATAAATACTATTGTCTGCAAATTAAAGTTTTCCTTTTCCATTTTTCTTTCCAAAAGTATACATACCCTTTAGTATTAGACAATTTTATACTTCATATTTAGAACCATCAGGCCAAACTTCCACTCCCTTTCCATGTTATTAATCATTTAGCCATTCCCCTTCATACTTAGCACCTCCAGCATGTACATATGTCCCACAACCATTAGCCATATCATTAGCCCATTGTCCTTCATATACATCTCCATCACCATGGACTAAATTCGTTTATTATTAAAGAGATACCTAATTTACCTTTTCCCTCTGCCTTATCATTTTTCCATTCCCCTTCATATAAACCTCCATCAGCCCAATTCTCTAATGAATTTTTCAATTTTACATGCAGTCCAAAGCCATCCCTCATACAATTGAACCATTCACCTTCATAATAGCCCCCATTAAGCATATTTATTCTAGGAAGTTTTTTTCTAATTCCTTTGGTGCTCTAAACAAGTTACTAAGATTCATCATTGGCTGGTTTATTGTCCTCTGAATAAGAAGATAAAAATCAACCATGAGTAAAAGATTGTGCATCCTATTGCTTCTCTTTATCCATTATTTAGTGTTCGCTTCCACCTCTTTAAGTTTATAGTTCCTCTTCTCCTACCTTTTTAGGAATGCAATTACAACTACCCATCTATTAATATATATATATATATAATTCATTCAATGTAATTTACAATATTTAACTTTTTACTTTATCTCTCATTTAATAAAATATAGACTTGTATAACAAGAGCTAGAAAGTTGATTCCAACATATATGTAAAACAATTGTCCATTTATGAATAACTAATAGAAGTATAGTGTTAATAGAAACTAAGTTAAATTTGAAAAGGGAATGCTATTGAATGCCATATTATATGCCAATGGACCAAATTTTTTACCAAATTACTATTATATCTAATTACAAGAATACTTTTGTACAAATCCCTGGAAATAGTGTATACAAACCACCATATTATAAGTAAGTGAGTACAACCCAAATCATAAATAGAGTTTTAGAATCAGCAATTAAATTTATTGTTCCTGCCAAAAGCATAGCCATAATTATGTTAATGAATACAAGAATTTTATAATTGATAAAGTCGAGCAAAAAACTCCAAAGAAAACGAGAGAGACTATTAGATTATGATTATTATTTTACCCATTTGTAAATCCTCCTATCATACCTACTATAGAAAAAAATTAATCATCTTTTATGTGAAGGAAACCGTATTCTTTGTAATGCGAGATAAGTATGAACCCGAATCCTGTTAAACAGAATACTTAAAATGTACTTAACCAAAACTCTTTTGTTTTAAGAATTTCAAATTATGTATTCACACTAACTTGGGCATCATTTTCAATTAAATTTCTAAAAAAATTAATAATTAAGTTTACTGATTATACGTCTCATCATTCTGATCATCTTTTTCTTTAACCGATTACATTAAAAATGCTCCTAATAATCCCAAGACCAAATAAATGGTTGTAACAAAGATGAGACCTTTCATAAGATTTTAAGCAACTTCTTCAGGATAGTATCCATTCACAGGATAAATGTTATCAGGATTTAACAGTTTCTATAATATAGGATTAAAAACAAGTGGAGTAAATCCAAATCCACAAAGTATCAAACCTGTTACCATTCCTTTTTTCTATGGAAATATCTTCAAAGCATTATCAACAGGAATTAAGTACTCAATTCCAATAAAAACACCAGGAAGTAAACCTTGAAAAAAAACAAAAAAGTAAAAGTTGCTATATGTAGCTGCATACATCGAGGCACAATAGCATAACATATTTATTACACTGACTAATTTGTGGCCAAAACGACGAGCCAAATGAATACCAAATTGACTTCCAACAGCTATTCCAAAATATATGGCTGGAAATACTGCAGAAACAGTTTTTGTTTCAATATCTGGATATCCATTGAAGCGATAGTATGAGCTCACATTTATGGAAATGTTACCCCAAACTACTCTCATAAATGAAGCATACAATAAAATGCACCTGTAACAAGATGGGTTAGAAAACCTCCAAAAATACTCAAATAGCCTTTCCACATATTTTTTTTAATTAAAAATGGATAAGCAATAATTATTTGCGGAATGCATTCGAATACTTTAAATCACACCTATTCGTAGAAGTGCAGAAGAACTTAACCACTTATTAGTTTTTGCACTCACTATTACTTTTTTTAGAGAGCTTGGTGAATAATCTCCAGAAATGCTTCATCGTTGTATATAAGTATTATCATATCGAACTATTAAAGCAGGAGATGTAAAATATTATAATTTTCCTTTTAGATACTCTTTAAAGTAGGAGATTCTGGAAGTCTATTTTATGTTATTTTAAAAGGATCTGTGGGTATTAATATTCGATTACCAAATCCTGATGATCCTTAATAATTTGAATTGAAAGAAGTAAATATATTGAAAGCTGGAGCAAGTTTTGGAGAACTAGCACTCATTAATGATGCCAAAAGAACAGCTACAATAGTAGGAAAAGAAGATTGTATATTTGCAGTGATGGAAAAACATCATTATAAATCAATCTTAGGAGCTTAAGAGATTGCTAAAATTCAAAATAAGATTTCATTCTTATGTTCTTTTCCTTTTTTCAGTTCTTGGTCCTTTAGGGAAATTAAAACAATTAGCTATCACTTTGAACCTGTTACAGTGACTCTTAATTAAGCGATAATTAAATAGAATGAGTATTGTAACCACTTTTATGTTGTAAGGGATGGAGAATTTTAGGTCTAATTTTCTTATAAAAACAAGCTATGTAGTATGTATGATATTTTAAATTTATAATTAGATGCACTTTAGGACCAGGAGAATCATTTGGACAAGAAGCTTTCTTAAGCAAAGATGGCCAATTCTTGATTAAATCTTCAATATTTGTTTAATGGGGGAAAACTAAATACAATATAGTTTGTAAAAGTGAAATTGGAATTGCTTATAAGATCACAAGAGAGGATATTCAAAAGTAAGATTATATTTATTTATGAAGAGACGTTTCTGGGATAGCAAAACATAGGTTGTCTTTTTATAATTGCTATCCTCTATTCATCATTTCCGAACAATAAAAGCAGAAGAGTTGATTAAAGAGATTGATAATAAAAGAAAAAAATTTGAGGAGCAAATACATTTGCCAATTCCTTTAAAGAAAAGTTATGTTTAAAAATATAATCTGCTTTCTTAAAGAAATACTAATGATGATATAGAAAAAGATTAATAATATGATGAGTTTAAATAACAAGAAAAATAAGCAATAGAATAATTTACAAAATTATTAAAAGATAGAAATTGTTCTTATGCTTAAGTGAGAACATTTTTTGATCAAAAAAAATTTATATCTCAAAATTATTTCAAAAAAAGATTCTACCATAGATAATTTTTTCGATTTGCTAGCAATAATGAGAAACTTCGAAAATCAGCTAATGAATAGGATTTTGAGTAAATTAATGGAATGCTTACTTAATGTTGCAACCAATAGAATATACCAACTATTAATAATTCACAATAAATTATTCATACTAAATCTTTGAGTAGTCCAACAACTATAACAACTATGGGAAAGTTTATCAAGAGAATAAAATTATAAGTTGTTACTCATCAAAAGAATGAGGATACCCAAACTATAATAAATATTCGAAATCACAGCCCAAATTCATATCGCAGCGTGAATTGTAGGAGAATGAAAACTTTTATTGATTGAGTAAATATAATAATAAATATATTGCTAAGAAAATAATAATTTCTTATCATTTACTCATAGATTCTATTAAATTCTATTGAAAAAAAATAAAGAACTTGATCTAATTAGATAGTCTTTTTCAATTTTGAAGCTGCCTGTATCATAAAAAATAATCAGGATGTCACCTATTGATCCTCGTTACTCCACATTAGCTGCGAAAAAAATTTTGAACTTTTTTCCTAAATTATCAGCTAACTCTAATATTAATATTGAATCTTGATTTCCAATATCAAATAATTTGGAGCACTCATTTGTTTTATTGAACTCTTTTGTAATATTCCCACCAAATATATATCTTGCTCCTCTCGGAGATACTCTCCATCCAATAATTACTTCAGGATCACTCCATAAAACGTCGCACATTGCTTATTCATGTTATACTTCTTGCTTTCTATCTAATTATTTTACCTTTAAGATGTTGCTACATCATAGATTTCGACACTATTTGGAGATAATCCTCCAACCAAAATACTCTATTTTGAATTACTGCACTTATTATCAAATAATCAAATACATCAGTACAATACCGCCAAACATTTGCAGAACCATATTTACGTTGACATTCAATAATAAAATCCATAAACTTAAGTGGTTTACCTTTGATTTCCTCTTATTCTTGAAATAATTGTAGCTGCTATATGGTAATCCTATTAGGAAATCGAACTTTCAATGACAATAATAAAAGAAAAGTTTCAAAACTATTAAACCTCGATCAATTAAATCTTCCAAGAAAAGGTAATTGGTTTCTCGCAATCTCCTCCGACTTTAAATAACTCAATTCAATCAAACCTCTTCGCTGAAAAAGCTTACTGTGACTGGAATATGAACAATCTCAGGGTTACGATATAAGGATTTGTTTAGCTTTTGTACACAATGAGATTACTTCTTGTTCACTTAACAATTCTTTAATTTTGCTATCCATTATAAAATAATATCTAAACTATTATCGATTATCTTAAGGTTTATTAAGTTTATATTAATTATAATTTAAATCAGTCGTAAATATTTATTCATAACAAATAATCAGGAATTGGTTTTTTCGCTGGTAATCCTCTGTTTTCTTGTGAAGCTGCTTCAAATATCCTGTACGATTTTGCAAGATTTTCATCCAATTCAAGAATTGAAGCAACATTTCCGCATCTATAATATACACATCTAAATAACCTATAGCAATAATTTTGAGCACTAAGACAGTTACCAGTTATTCATTAAATATCACCCTATATCCTTCCATAACTAATTGATGTGCTCGGCATATCAATTCAATGTTGTTTTTTCTATTAAAGTCATCTACAACATCTCCACCAAATAAATATCCTGCACCTCTAGGGGATAAATTCCATCCCTCAATTTCTAAAACAATTCTATAATACGACATCGCAAATTCCATAAAAAAATCAATTTTAATATTAGGTAATATCAGAACTTGGTATGTATAAAGAAAAAAGTATTGCCATTATTCTAGCAATTCTGTTTTAATTATTGGCTGAAGAAAAATACGCTTACAATTTGAACTTTAATTTGTGTTAATAATAAAATAGCCAAAAATAATTATAGTTTTATCATCAGGATCACTCCAAATTAGATCACACTTAGCTCCATTTGAGGTACTTCTTATTTACGATCGATTGCTCTAATCTACATAATTAAATTTCTAAAACATCATCCATAGTCTTTATTGAAGGGGATAACCCACCATGGACACAAAATATCTTCTCTTTAATTATAGCAGCTAAACTTAAGTAATCAAATATATCTGTGCAATATCTCCAAACATTTAATGACCCATATTTTCTTAAGCATTCATCATAGAAACCATAACCTGTGTAATTTATCTAGATTCATGATTTCCTCGTATTCTACATAAAGAAATATTTTACAATGTTATTCTGTCTGGATAACGTACTTTCAAAGCTAATAATAATAAAAATGTTTTGACGCTGTTAAATCCTCTCGACAAAGTCACCTAAGAATAAATAGTTAGTATCCGGACAATCTCCTCTTACTTTAAATACCTCCATTAAATCGAAGAATTAACCATGATTATCTCCACAAATCTAAAATTAATATTTCTTTCACAGTCATAGGTGCATCCACTCTTTGCACATTGCTTTCTTCAACAAGAATTTCTCGTGCCTTTGTACATAACCTTCAGTTATGTTCTCACAGTNTAAAATAATATCTAAACTATTATCGATTATCTTAAGGTTTATTAAGTTTATATTAATTATAATTTAAATCAGTCGTAAATATTTATTCATAACAAATAATCAGGAATTGGTTTTTTCGCTGGTAATCCTCTGTTTTCTTGTGAAGCTGCTTCAAATATCCTGTACGATTTTGCAAGATTTTCATCCAATTCAAGAATTGAAGCAACATTTCCGCATCTATAATATACACATCTAAATAACCTATAGCAATAATTTTGAGCACTAAGACAGTTACCAGTTATTCATTAAATATCACCCTATATCCTTCCATAACTAATTGATGTGCTCGGCATATCAATTCAATGTTGTTTTTTCTATTAAAGTCATCTACAACATCTCCACCAAATAAATATCCTGCACCTCTAGGGGATAAATTCCATCCCTCAATTTCTAAAACAATTCTATAATACGACATCGCAAATTCCATAAAAAAATCAATTTTAATATTAGGTAATATCAGAACTTGGTATGTATAAAGAAAAAAGTATTGCCATTATTCTAGCAATTCTGTTTTAATTATTGGCTGAAGAAAAATACGCTTACAATTTGAACTTTAATTTGTGTTAATAATAAAATAGCCAAAAATAATTATAGTTTTATCATCAGGATCACTCCAAATTAGATCACACTTAGCTCCATTTGAGGTACTTCTTATTTACGATCGATTGCTCTAATCTACATAATTAAATTTCTAAAACATCATCCATAGTCTTTATTGAAGGGGATAACCCACCATGGACACAAAATATCTTCTCTTTAATTATAGCAGCTAAACTTAAGTAATCAAATATATCTGTGCAATATCTCCAAACATTTAATGACCCATATTTTCTTAAGCATTCATCATAGAAACCATAACCTGTGTAATTTATCTAGATTCATGATTTCCTCGTATTCTACATAAAGAAATATTTTACAATGTTATTCTGTCTGGATAACGTACTTTCAAAGCTAATAATAATAAAAATGTTTTGACGCTGTTAAATCCTCTCGACAAAGTCACCTAAGAATAAATAGTTAGTATCCGGACAATCTCCTCTTACTTTAAATACCTCCATTAAATCGAAGAATTAACCATGATTATCTCCACAAATCTAAAATTAATATTTCTTTCACAGTCATAGGTGCATCCACTCTTTGCACATTGCTTTCTTCAACAAGAATTTCTCGTGCCTTTGTACATAACCTTCAGTTATGTTCTCACAGTTTCTAAGCTAAGCTATTTGTCTATCCAAATCAGACTAACTCATTTATTTATTTTGCAGTTATATAAATTTAAGTAATCATTAATGCATGAAGCATGAAGCAGAAATTGTTATATAAACCATGGTCTGTGTTTAGTATAATAGTTATAATAATCCTAATAGTATTAATTGGTAAAAAAGAAAATCTTCAAAAGAAGAATTGTTCATCTGCTGTAAAAATTGAAATTTTCATATTTTTAGTTTAAAATAAATATTTAGATCAGAATTAAGATTTATTTTACACTCAAATTAGCGTATAAAATTAAAAAATAACCAGATACCGATTATTTAATTTTGGGATTAAAATTTATAGGGATGACAACCAATAAAATTTTGAAGACTTTATTTATTATGAAAGAAATAAGTAGAGATTTTAAACTTATTTTAATATATTTCTTATTTTTAATGAATATTTTTCAATCACAAAAGCATAAATATTACCATGAAAGCAAATATGATGATGTTTGATGATGATGATGATGGTGATTCTTCTTTTGAGCATTCATCACACGTTTCATTAGCATAACCATTGATCTTACATTCTTCTTCACATGTGGCACATATTTGTTTTCCTTCAGCTTTGATACATTCAATTTAATCAGTTTATCCTGAGACTGAATCATAAGTAGTTTAAATCAACAATCTTCTTGATCCTGATGAGTTGGTCGATAAAACGGAAGTGACTCGTATTGTTACTGCTCTCCAGGCGATTTCAGCTCTTAATTAAATTATAACTTATCCTTTGACAGTATTATTAATACTAATTGGTGTAGCTTTCTTATTCAAACCATTACCAGTATACCAAACTTCAGTTCCAGTTAGATAATAACCATTCATACCAGTTGTTGTGACAGTTTATAATAAGACAAATTGATCATTTAAATGGAGGTCTGGAGTTTCAAAAGCTGCACATGTTAAATCGGTACACCATTTTAATGTAGTATCTGCTTTAGCAGTACAAACTCCGCCTGGTGTACATCCTGCTGTTGATGTTTGAGTCAATGGTTTGAATGCTGTTTCAATGGCAGCACCTGTTCCTTTTTCAATTGTAACAGCGAATTCAAAGAAAAAAGTATATTATACTTAATCTGTTCCAGCAGGGTAATAAGAAACTGCAAAATATCCTTTATATATAAATTAATTAGTATTTGATGTCTCTACTAATCTTGTTGATAATTGTCCTCCAGGAATTGTGAATGAATAATATCTCCATTATTTCTAGAAGTTATTTGTTGAAGTTATTGGTAAATCAGTAACTTGTACTGGATCCGAATAAGTATTTGAAGTGAATTTCCATAATTTAAGATCAAGACAAGTGGTTGCTTCTGGTTTTCCATCTTCTTTCACCAAACCAAAGTATGTTGGATCATTAAACAAATCAACATCAGAATATCTCAAATTTACCTTCACGTCTGCACCGTTCACAAAGGAAATATCTCCTGTAAAGGCGAGTTTAGTTGCACCTGACCCATCTATGTTATTGGCAGTACCAAATTTTTTTAGATACTTATCGCAATTTTGATCATTGTAACTCAATCGTTATGTATATCCAATAGTTATGATTATAGTGAAAATTATTATTTTTTACATTAAATAATATAAATTTAATCTAATTTTTAGAGAAACTTAAAAAGGATATAGTAAAAATTCTATTTGCAGGTTTGTTGAATTATTGGATCTAATAAATAGAAAATGAGAATTTAGATATTAAAAGTTTTAAATCTAAAGGTTATATCAAAATCATATGAAATTTTATTATTAAGACTATAATTAAAATATCTGAGTGTTATTTTTTCTCATAAATATATTTTAAATTAAAATGATTAAAATTTTTTAGGGGAACAAATATTTGAATTTTTGCTTGGATTCATTCAATTTGATCCGTTACTGCAGAGACTTTATCATATTTAGACTAATAATCATCTTCATCCTATTTAGTTTGTTGATATAACAGAAGTAATTAGAATTGTGACAAATCTCCAAACAATTTCAGCCTTAAATTTAATATTAACTGCTCCTGATTTCAAATTTTCGATGCTTGTTACAAATACTTTCTTATTCAATCCTCCTCCAATATAGCAGTATTTCCTGTGCAATTTTAAGAGACATTATTAATTTGATTAAAAGTTCTAAATTTCATATATATTTCTTGCATTCTTGGAAATCAAGTCATCCTGTTAACTTTAAAAATCTTATATTTTAATTTGGTTACTCTATCTAAAAACATGAATAATTTTAATTTATCATTATATTTAAATTCATTTATTTTTTACTTTAATCCCAACTCAGATAATTGAAACTATATTAATGCTTGAGAATATATTTGTTGAGTTTAATGAGATTTAAAATTTTTTCTTACTTATATCTAGTGAAAAATTTGAAAGTAATTAAAGAGAAATGATGTAATAAATTATTTTATTTTTATAAATTTTCAAATAGAATAAGAGGTTTTAATTTGAGTACAAAGCAAGATTTTTAAATATGTAATGTATTAATACAAAATAAAAATGAAAACAATAGTAATTATTACAATTCTCGTAGTTCTTGGATTAAGTTAAACACCAAGACTTAGCCCTAATGATTTAAATTGTAACAAATATCTAGGAAAATTTGGAACAGCTGATTCTCCAGATGGATAAGGTGCCTCAAAGATTGCATTCAAAGGTGATGCTGCCTTTATTGATGGAACAGCTAATGTTAAAGTTAATTTATAATATTCTGATTTTGAATATTTCAATGATCCTTTATATTTTGGTCTTGTTTAAGAAGATGGAAACAAACCAGAAAACACATGTCTTGATCTTAAATTATATAGATTCACATCAGATTAATATAGTGGAGGAACTTAAGTAACAGATTTAACAATAACTTCATCATTTAATTTCTAAAAATAATGGAGATATTATTCATTTACTATTTTAGGAACTGAATTAAGTACAAGGTTAGTTCTTGATTCATAAAATACTGAATAATTTGTTTATAAAGGATACTATTCTATCGCTTATTATATTGCAAATACAGACTAATTATAATACACATTATATTTCTAATTCACTGTTACAGTTTTAAGATCAAATGGAGCTGCAGTCGACACATCTTTCAAACCAATAAGTTAGAAAGAATCAGTAGGATGCACACCAAATTTACCTTGTGTTATAACAGCTGCTACTACATTAAAATGGTGTACAGATTTGAAATGTACAGCTTATGAAACTCCAGATCTTCATTTAAATGATTAATTTGTTTTATAATAAATTGTCACCACAGCTGGTTTGACTAATTATTATTTAACTGGAACTGAAGTTTGGTATACTGGTGGTGGATTGAATAAGAAAGCAACTCTTGAATAAGTGATTAATACTACTCCAGGATAAGCAATTATTTAATTAAAAGCTGAAATTGCTTGGAGAGCAGTAACAATAAGAGTTACTTCAGTTCTAGCAAACGCATCATCAGGAAGAAGATTATTAGTTTAAAGTACTTATGATACAGTCAATGGATAAACTGAATAAATTGAATGCATCAAAGCTAAAGGATCAGAAACATGTGCCACTTGTGAATAGGAATGTTAAGCTAATGGATTTGCTCGTGATGGTTGTGAAGAATGTTCCTTTTCCTAATAAATAGCATTTGTTTTCTTGGCTTTATTATTAGCATTAACATTTTGAATTATAAATATATATTCAATCATTTTATATTA